AAGAGAGCGAGAGTTCTTACAATCGCGGAATATTTTTGGATCTCATGTTGGAACTAGTGTAACCGCTCCACTGTCACTCACTAATTTAAGTATAATTAGAATGATCAGTAACAAAAATTAAGTGCAGGTAACAAGTAATACCCAAGCCAGTGGGACATAGTCACATTCTTGTTTTCAGGAATGGACTTATTCCAAATCTTGATGTTACACAGGAAGCACCCCCTGTGGATTTTTCTGAGAAATTTTGTTTGTGAGTAGCACGGCGGCAAACTTTGAGAATTCGATCACTGACAGTTCCTGCATGTCGTAACTTAAAATTAGGCGGTTTTGAAACCCACGCCAAGCAGGTTATCTGTCAGTGTACTGTCAAAAACGACGTTAGGACTTTAAGGGTCAAAGCTCCAAAATGCAGCTCACTGATTGGAGATCCAAAAATTATGTGAACCCCAGTTCTTAAAATTACCCATCAGTGGAATTAAGGGGGAGTGACTTAGCAGAGGAACAGACAGCCAAGGTACCTCAGTGTTTTCAGACAAAGAGTCACAAGTTAGTTGACAAACAGTTGCCAAGTGAGTCGCCTGCTACTCGTGAACAATTTAAAAACAAAATCTGTGTTTTTCTCTGTTCTGTAGAACCCCAAATTCAGAGTGCTAAAGAAAGTGTAAATTGTGATAATAATGTCCGTTATACCAGGACTATGCTAGATAAGGACCTATATATAAGCATCCTTTGTATTGACTATGTGTGTGTCATCAGATGAAGGGAAGTGTTGATCTCAATAAATGGTCACAGTGTTTAAGTGCAAAGTATCATTGAACCAACTACTTCCATCCCCGTCCTGAGCAAGGCCCTAGCAGACGCCCTGAGAAGGATCCCAGCTTTACCCACAGCTGAACTAGTTGACTATCGCATTTACCCCCTTTCCAAAATAAATCTATGACTATTGTAAGCTGACACCACCTGAGCTTACTGGCGCCCAACCTAAGAAGAAGAAAGAAGGAGAGGAGCGACAAACAACGCGTGACTGACCAACCAACAAGGAGGGAGTGAAGGTGAGGGAAGAATGGTTGCAGAGTGAAGAGATGGAGCCCAACATAAGGGCTGGACGGTTATACTAGCGGCTTTAGATAGTATTCTTAGTGAATATTTAAATAGTGCAACTGTGTCAAAAACACGTCGAAAACAATTCAAAACGAATTACTGGACTGTATATATGCGGTATACAAGAAAACGGTTAAACAAGAAATTCAAAATGCAAAATATGTAGCTGTCCAGGCAGATGAAACCTCTGACGTGCATGTCCCAATTAGTTATCCTGCTACGGTATGTCAATAACAGTGGTCCCGTTGAAAGATTCATTTCCTTATGTTCAGGATCGCACTTCAGAAGGTTTAGCAGCAGTACTTAAACAAGAATTAGAACCATACAACCTTGAACAAAAACTAATTGCTAAATCCTATGATGGCGCTCCTGCGTTTTGTGGCACCATCTGTTGAACATTGCTCCACAGATGGGGCTACAGTTATTTTATATTTTCTTGTTAACTCTCGCTGAATTAGCTTGGTCTCAAGTGAATAACTTGAAGTCACCCCTAAGGGCGGGCGGTTCGGGGCGGAGGTGTGGCAATTTTTTGTGATTTTAATAAAAGGTGGATTTTACTAAAAGCTTAGGTGAGTGTTTTAATGAGCGGCCGCAAAAATTTTCCCTCCCCCCCGGCTCCTTCACCGCTCCCTCCCTCTTCACTTCCTCTGCTGTTGGCATTCTTCACTAATTTCTTCTAATTTTTTTTTTACAAAAATCCTAGTGGTTTTGACCAGGGACCTTCTGAACACTAAGCTGATGTCTTACCCCTAGACCACCAGCACCACAGAAATTAATTTTTTTAATCTTCCTCTTAAGCTACATCTTCGGTTATAATTCCAGAAAAATTATATTAACTCACTTTCTATACCACAAAACTATACTTGGTCTCGAACCTTCGAACGCCTCTTCACTACGCCGGTGTCTTACCCTTTGACCACCCGTGCCACAAACGTTTCTTCTCTTTAAGTTCTCTTTTTATTTTTCCATTAGCACAAGTTTCCCACCGCTTCAAAATTTCCACTTTCTTCTTTAGAATCTCATACACTTGAGTTTTACCAACGTTAAACATCTTCATGATCTGCTTAACAGACAATTTATCTCGCTCACTCACATGTATCACTTTTAATCTTGTGTTAAGATCAAGCACAACTCTTGTCTTTGTAGCCATGATGACAACTGCTAGACTAAAGTAAAACTGTAGGCCTAGAGCCCTTACTGAATACAATTTCCAGAAGGGGAAAACAATTCTGCTGAATCTCAGTGCAGGTAGTGCAGTACCGTTAGAAGCTTATTTTAAAGAGTTAGGGAAAACAAAATTCTGTAGAATGTATAGGATGCCTAAAATTATTCTAAATGATGCATTCCGGAAGACTGGAAATTTTCCGTATAAAGGCTTATTTTGATTTCCGTTGTCCACGTTAGACAGTTTCCGTTTAATCCAGGTTATTTAACATCTTTTTCAGCCCCAAAGTCAAGGGACCTGAAAATATTTCGTTTTAAGACAGATTCCCATTTAATAAAGGGCCCGTTTAAGGGAGGTTCTACTGTATATTGTAGAACTGAAGTTTGTTTAAAAAATATGTTGCACAGTTTTTGGTATATTCAGCTGGGTAGTAAGTTTTGATTAATTTGTATTTAAAATATACTTACTGGAAATAAAGTTACTGCAGTGAGGTTCATTCTCTCTGTTTTTCTTGGAGGAACGACTGGATTTTCTGCCAGGTAAGATATTCATAGTAAATAATTATGTATTTGTTATAAATACACTTTTATTTCAGTACATGTTAATTATCATTTTTAAATACAACCTTGCTGCTACAATTATACATCTTGATACTTATCAAATTATTTATCACAAGAAGTTGTTTTATATTCCCATGATCACCAATTATGCATCACAGCAAGGGTAATATGGTCATTTCTTTTAATCATCTTGTTTTTTTTGGGAAAGAGTAGTGGTCGTAATTCATAATCATGCTTCAATCTGAAAGCTGGGTTTAGAAATGGTCCCAACAAATGTCGTTTGTGAGGCATTAGTTTTTTAAAATAAATATTGGTTTGCGTCTTTCATGGCAGTATTAATATGCCCTTCTGGAAAAGAAATAAATAGTACACCTTTCTCCTTTAACACTTATACATATTAGTTACATATGAAAGAAATCAGTCTGCAGTAATGTTGCCAATATTAATTTACAGAATATAACAGTAGAGATATGCACTGGTACTTATTGAGACGCTACACGGCATACTCTCTTCATGAATCTCATCGGCCTCACTTTGTACATGTCTCACGCATTACAATTGCTCTAACTACCACAACTGTAAGTGTTAAATTTATGTTATACCCTTCAAAGTAAGGCCAAGGGATGCATTTATATTTAAGGTGTTTGGTATGTAATATATTTGAATGTCTATGTAGATATAATGTATTTCATATCATCCTCTTCTGAAACATTAGGCTCACAATTGATTCTTTGTGTCTTGTCTGACTGAGATTAACTCCACATACAAATTGAGCCCTGGACTTATTACATTTTTCTTGCATTTTCATACTTGTAAGCATTATGACATAATCTTGCCAATTATAAGATATATATTGCTTTTATAATAAACCACATAGCCACAATCAGATACTTTATGATGAAACAAAGCAAAAACGACACACACGAACACCCTTCCCTGAGTAAAATTTCAACCTCTACACAACACAATCAAACATAACAGTCTGGATACTTTTACTGTACTAAACAGATTTACCCTTCATTCTGAGTTGTGACACAATATAGTCTTGTAGCCATGCACCAGTATTTCAGAGGAACATACCAGTTCCATCTTCAGAGATGAAATGTGTAAAGTGGGGAATCAGTTGGATTATATAGGCAGGTTGCAAGGACCTGCAGGGAGGGGATGGAGGCAATATGTTCCTCGAAACATCAATATCCATCTACAAGTCTCCATGGTTCACAGCACAGAGGACTATAGTCTGAATAATCACCACCATGAAAACTCAAAAACTTGACAGATTTCCCTTTTCCTCTAATCTTATTGCAAGAGATAAAAGTGACTACACTTCTTGGACATCTGCAGGTCAGTACCACTTCATCCACTGTGAATGAGAGTTAAATACTGATTGCACTACTCAATTTGCTCATGTGAGGTAATGTGGTTAGTATTTTAATGCATATTATGGAAAACTATCTGTACTAACCTGGAGCTGGCTGAAATGCAATTACAGCAAGTATTGTCTGAGAGAAGTTCAAGCAATAGAAAGTAAGCTTATAAAACAGATACACCAATCAAATTTAATTAAGTAAAAATTTAGTAACCATGAACAAAATATTTTCTTACATTCAAGTAAATTTACCTTACCTTAATTGATATCTGCAATGTTTTATGTGGGTGATATCTAATGGCATATTCCAGAAAAACTGTAAAGCACACAGGGTTGTGCCTTTTATTTTCCATTGTTCAATTTCCTTATTTTGTACAGAGGTTAGATGTAACACCTCTGAATGAAAATATAAACATTATGATGAAGTTCAACATAACTATAGCATTTTATTCTTTCCTGCTTTTGGAACTGTTGTCATTTTTAGAGCAAATTGTTCACTGATAAAGAACCATGTTTCCATTAACTACACCATGCAATTTAGTTACATTACAGAAACTAAGGTTGGTGCCTGTCAACAAATTCACAACATCATGTGTGATTGTGGACGGATTCATTTAGCTGGTTTTCAAGGACTGTTATTTCTCACATACTGAGAAAATAAGATGTTTTGGAGTATGATTTGAACCTGACTGTCAGGGCCAGCTGTCTTGGCCAAACCTTCCCTTCCTCTCAGGAGGGAAATTATGTTTATAAATATAACCTAATCTNCTTCTACCCTGAAGATGGAGGCGATACGTTCCTCCGAAACGTCGGTTAACACCACATATACATGGTGCCAAATCCCAGAAGACTGCTTTCTTCATAATCTACTACTCTTTTCAGACATATATATTTCAATCTTAGGGATATTTAAAGAACATATTGTTAACTCCATGAACAAAACCAAAAGGAGCTGGTATCAAGAAGGACAGGAAGTATATGGAAAGAACATTAAATTAAAGATAAATTTCGTTGTCCAGTTTAAAATTGTAGTATATATGTCTGGTTTCTGATGGCAGTAAACAAAAACAATTGTTCCTTCAAGTAAACATCTTAATATATATGAGAGATTTAAAAACCATTTTAGTGTATGAGAAGTTAGAATTGTCAGATGGTGCTTAATGTTAACAGTGAAGTTGAGTTTTAATTAGTTTGTGACTTCAGCATATGACAGGAAGTTAACATCCTGCTGAAGCAGTACATTTGTACTTTAATACCTAAGATATGTCTGAAGAGATAATTGTAATGGTAGTGAATTGAAAGTGCATATGTCTGGGCTTCAACCATGGAGTTTTGTACTACCGCTAAAAATATGAAGAAGAAAAAAACTTTCAAAAATCAATGTGGTATGTGACCCTCTCAAGGTTACTACTTTGAGATGACCCTCTGCCCTTTTCAGATCAATTTCTGTTAAATTTCACTAGCTGATGCATTTCAGCTTGTTACCCACATTCAATGCTGCTTACATTGTACTTCTCAACCGCTGCCACTTGTATGATGCGAACCATCTGTGTATTTTTTATGTCAAAGCTTCAGTTGTACTCGACACACATATTTGTGTGTGTGTGTGTAGAGAGAGAGAATATATGTAATATCCTCCTCCCCTTTCCTATTAATATTTATCTATTATTTAGTGCAAGTTTGAAAAGTACATTGTTTTAATTTGTATATTGTTCTTAATGGATAATCCTACCTTATTAAATTCCTACATGTATTATTGTTCCCAGATATCCACGTTAATTTTGGTGTCATCTTCAAAAGTTCCAGAGCGTCATCAGTTGTTCTGTATTCATATTGTATGTCCAGGATGTGTTTTGCATACTTAATGTTGTCCTTGTGTAAGATGTAAATTTTTTCTTTGTGCCTCGCTTTGAAATTTCTTCCAATTTATCCTATATACACTTCATGACATTGATTATATTTAAGTTTATGTATTCCATTTTGTTTGTATTCATCCTCCTCCTGTATTGCAGAAATTTTCTGTGGGTTGTTGTTTACTGTATACACTAGTTTTCTGTTGGTGTTTTTGCATATCTTTTTGATTGCCCTGATCTGATTTCCAGCATATGTGAATTTTGACCAACTCAGTTCTGTCTTGTAGTCTTCTTTTCCTCTCCTCAGTTTTATGTTGATTTCCTGTCTTCTGTGGCATTACTGTTATACTCTTCTTAATGTTATAAATCCTTTGCAACGATGTTCATGGTTTATTTAAAATTTTGAAGTGTTAAAATGAATAAAAATAATTGTTCTGACAGTGTTCAAGTACCTGTTATTTCGCATTAGACTGTGCATACATGAACAAATTTGTTATATATTATAAATATTTCAGTTTAAATGTTACTTTGAACAGATAAATAATCAGGCAAAATTATTTTAATAGCCTCCCATTTTCTTATAGCATTTGGTACACACAGTATAAAGAAAAACAGAAGTACTGCATATTATAGATGTAATTTACGTCATTTTAAATGCCAGAAGAAAACTGATCCATTCTCAGTAGGAGTTCTGTATCCTTACTCAAACTCACATCACAGGCAGACATCACTTTGATATGATCCTGTAGTCTTGCCAAGGTCCTTGCAAAACTTACATACTACACGCTACTAATTTGAGACATAACTTTTTTCATTAATTACTTCTGTGGTTACAGTTAAATAAACTGTACACTGTTTAATAGCTACATACCTTCCAATCATACAAGTCAGTAACTTCTACTACAGTCAATATACTTCATGAAGATATGCATACAGACATCCGATCTGTGACATGGATATTTATGTTATGCTCTGGAGTTCTGTTGACTTCAGAACTGACTTCATACAGGTACCATAAACAGCCAATACAATTTTTTGTAGTAATGTTCCGACCTGCTTACTCATTATGTTGAAACATTTTAACACTTCTCTTACTGAATGTTACCATGTCAACAACAACAGCAAGATGTCTCTGTATAATTACTTCTTAAGGCCCAAATTCAGTATCTACTCTTCCGTCCCTGTTGCTTCCAGTCCATTGCAGTGTCTTTTGGCATGGCACCAGTGGCATGATGATGGTGATGATGGTGATGCCTCTTCTTCTCGGCAGCAGCTATAGCTGAGGGTTTGGGCAGATACATGGCAGCCGTGGTGTCGTTGACAACCAATTCACTTCCATCACGTTCTGTGCCTCCAACGTTCCGGTAACCTCCATTCACCAGTTCATCCAGTGTTTCCTTGCGCCTAAGAGGTGAGTGGTTTGAGGCTTTGTTCTTGTTTCCAGCTGCTGCTGACTCATGATGCAGATTTTCCCAGGCTTGACGGTAGTAACGGTTGAGTCCTCCTCTACTCTCTGAGCCTGACGAGTCAAATGACGCTACCGTATTGCAGTCTGGGGAAGCACGGTGGCGGTAGTGTTTAGTAGTGCGGTTCCTGCTCAAAAAGAACATCATGATGTCCATATAAACATGTACGTTTAACAATGTCCATTATATGTAAGCACATTTTTAGTGACACAGTATAAGTTAAGAAGGTACTTCCAGCTGACAATTAAACTAATTTTAATTCTCTTCTGAATGACAAACAATCCATTCCTAAAAGAAAGTTAAATGAATAAAATAAAATGTGTTTATGCAGGAAAAAGCATGGCTGTAATTTACATGTGCACAGACATGCACACACACAGACAAACACAGCCACGCGTGTGCCCACACACACACACAGAATAGTCACCAGTTTTGATCACAATATATACTAACATATTATTGGCTAAATAATGAGCAGTATTTCAAACTGTACATTGATAACATATTGTAGCATGTAGATCCATTGCTAAGTAATGACTCTGTAAACAACGTCCAATGCTAGGCAACAGATTCCTAACAAAAAGCGACTGAATAGGAACAGAGAAATTGTGTTTTCTGTGCGGTCCACTAAGCAATAATTGAACAGAAACAAAGGAACGGTGTTTTCTGTGCGAGTTTTGCCGAAATGTTATAAGCAGGACAACTACTGACAGTCTGAGTTAGTTAGTGCAGTGCAGTGCAAGAAAGTGAAGAGTTGGTTGGCAAGTAAGTTAGTCACAAAACTGCAGTTCAGTCATTGTGAGCTGTTGCTGTTACAAACTGGAAGCTGAGGCATGGGGATAATTCAGGAACTCAGAGTAAGGGGCACGTTCACCATTGGAAGCCTGTCTCTGGTCCCTCTGGTGCCTACCCTGAGCCAGATGGATCCAATCTGTAACACTCCATCCTATTTCTCTAAGATCTATTTAATGTTACCCTCCCACATACGTCTATGTCTTCCTAATGGTCTCTTTCCTTCTAGTTTTCCCACCAAAATCCTATATGCATTCCTCTTCTTTCTCATCCATGCATCATTCTGTACCCGCCTCATCCTCCTTGACTTGATCACTCTAATTATATCTGGTGAATAGTGTAAGCTATGAAGCTCCTCATTATGCATTTTTCTCCAACTTTCTGTTACTTTATCCCTCTCCTTGGCACCTTATTTTCAAATACCCCCAGTCTATGTTCTTCCCTTAATATCAGAGACCAGTTTTCACACCCATACAAAACTAATGGCAAAATTAGAGTTTGCTATATTTCAGTTTTTACATTTTAGGCAACTGACAAGAATAGAAAATATTCTGAACTGATTCTAAGTTTACACTAAATTGTGCAAGTTAACAGAACTGTAATTCTGTCTAACTTTTTTTGGAATTATAAATCACAGCAGTCAATGACATAGATTCCTTGTAAAAATATATCCCTTTTGATCACTAATTCTGAGCATTCTTCCTGTCACCACTCACAGCATGGCAGTAGTGAGCAAAGGTTGAGGGCTGGCTGATGATACTGTTACATGAATGAGCATTCCATTCAAAAGTTATTGTTTACTCCAAATATGTACGGTATTTTACTTTTGATTCCTATAACCAAAATTCTGATTACAATAAGCATTTCAGTTTCATGATTTAAATCAATTTCCTGAAATATGATTATACAAAGTGGTCTGATTCTAATAACAAGTGATCACATTAAGCAGTGCCTACTGTATATGGTGATACATATTTTTAAATGCTGTCTTCATTCCATAGTATGTTAACTCCCTGTGCATGTATTACACATACTATGCTGCATATTCTATGTATACAAATTCTGGTATAAACCCAGTATTTTTTCTTGGTAAAGATTATTATATACTGTAGCATGTATGGCTAGGCAACGTCGTGAAAAACACCTTCTTGCTTAAGGATGAATATTTATAGCTCATTGCTAGGCAACAGTCAGCGAGCCAATTGACTGGCAAGACAGTTATCAAGTGACTTGTTATCTGTGTGGTCTGCGCTACACAACAATAGAACTTTCTTTTTCTGTGCATGGTCCATGCCAAGAGGATATGAGAGAACATATGAATGGGATTTGACTTCACTTGAGTTCCGAAGTTCCAAGGGAACAGCAGTATGACCAGAAGAAGAATTAGAAGACTTAGTGTGTGACATTACATGTGCTATAGTTAAGAGAGAGCTTGAGAGAGCAAGAACTAATTGTAGTTACGACTAGTGAAGATCCAATAAACCGATTCACCAATCCAAACTTGCATCTTAGTCACTGAGCCACATGACAATATGGTGCATTAAATTTTTGTGTACCAGTAATGAATAATCGATGGCCTATAAACACTAATATCGGCCACTAAATGGTTTTGCAACAGCCCAAATATTCAATGCCATATTAACTCATTAAGAGTCAAATGATAACAGTAATTAAAATAATGGGGGCTAATAAATCCAGTAGCACATACAATCTGATGAAGCCATCAATGGATTGCTGCTCATAGTCAGCTACTGGGACTGCTTAACTCTTACATGTTCATATAAATTAAATTACTGATTACAAATGTAAAACTGAAGTGTATTTCTATCACCTCAAGCCCTCATTACATTCCATGCATTATAAATTGTAAAATACATGTAATGGAAACAGAAATAAAAAATGACTGAGGTCCTGAACAAGTGGAATATGGAAACTGTTTCAGAATATTTTTCAATGTCAAAACTTTAAGTTGTGGCACTTCAAACTTTAAATCTCCTGCAGAATTAGGTATCCAGTCAGTTACAGAGTTTCATAAAATGTGACTTTTTTCAACCCTGTGAGTAAACACTGAAAATGGCAATGTAAAGAAATTATACTCCAAGCACCATGTAAGTTAGTATTGTTTCCACCTGAAAATTTAATATTATAATTTCGACATTTTTAATTCCACTCATGTAATTCATTTGCCAGTAGTTCTTCAGACATCAACATAACTGGAAGACTCATCATACACAGAAAATTACAGTTTCAGGTGGAAAACTGTAGTCAATACAGAATTTAGAATTTTCAGTTGCAGTTTCACCTACCTTTCCCAAATATGTTTTATTAAAATTTTCAAGTGAACTATTGTGAGCAAATTATGATATTACTGAAGTCAAATCTCTTGTTTCAATGCAGAAGATTCAGACAGAAATCCTGATGAAACACATTCTTTTCACAAGCTAGATGTCTGTATTCTCTCACAAATATTTTATCCATTCCCACCATGCAAAGGGCTGTAGTTGGTTAAAAAAGAAATACCTTTCCAATTTTTGTCAGATTTATGTACCTTGGGTTCTATGTTCATGCCAGATCCCACTCTATTTTTCCCCCTTCTCTGAGTTGACAAAAATGTGGCCTTTCTCAAGATTATATTTTTAAGGATTTATAAATGACAGAACATAGTCCCAGAGACAGAACACATTTAGGTACTCTAAGGGAAGAATCTTCAGCATCCAATGTTGCTGCAGATGAGTTCAGTGACTGAATGAATGCCTGGGCTAAATGATGGCCTACGATCTTAGTTACATCGAAAGTCTGTCACATGTACAGTTGTACACATTAACTTATTAATTAGTTGAAAGGGGCATTTCGAAGTTTAAATGTAACGTTGTGTTCATAAGTTGATGTTATTAAAAGTCACAATTTGTATCATACATGTAAGAGCAATATATTTGTATGATACAGTTGTTTAACTAACTCTAAATAACAGATTATATTTATTTGAAGTACAAAAAATTGTATGAATATGATGCCAGGTGCATGCAACAGTGATGCGAGGAAGTTTCTAAGGAGAAGTAAGACAGAGAAAAGAAGAATATTTTTGCCAACCTGCTGTTGGAATACTTCATCTGCAATCCATTTAATAAAGGTAGTGGGGATTTGATTTCCTGAAAAGCATCAATTGATGTGAATTAGTGAAATGTTTCTGAACAAAAAATAAGAAGGAGAAAATGAAATTTGCTGGTGGAAGAAAGAGTACCCTCATGCATACAAAAAAGACATTTCACTTGTTGGTTACTACACAGATGATTTATTTGTTAATGACATTCTAAGGATACTAAAATTTCCAGTATGTACAGAACAATTTTTCACTATAAATCAAACCTTTGTTTGTGGTGGCATGAAAGAGTAAGCACGCATGGTGTAAATCTGATTTGGTTTGGAATATTTGTGCTTCTAGTGTTGAACAAATCTAATACTGGTGCATGGATCGGTGCTGCATCAGTACCGTACCTTGTTGGACCTAGAGTGGGTTTGAGAAATAGCCGGCTGTGGTGCGGTTTCGATAGGCAGCACCACGAGAGAATTCTCGCCTTCCCACCTGCTGATCAGGGAAAGGCAGAGCCAGAAGCGTATACCAGCGTGATGGCATGGTTCGTGCAGGGGGAAGCTTGCGTTTCTTCCCACTAAAACAGCAATGGGAGGTACAGAAAATCCTGGGTTAGTGACACATTAGTGTTAGCAGGGTTAGGAATAAATTTACTAGGATAAAGAAGGCTTCATACAATGTAAAGTCATTACATTATGATGCAGGTCAGGATTGGTGGTATTGAAGATGATTCATGCTAACTCCCCCCACCAACTGGTATATATACAGAGTGTAAACTCTTGTCATTTTGCTGTATAACAGGATAAGTCAATGAAGGGTTTAACTAGCTGATTTCAGTCACCTCAGCATTGAAAACAGTAGAAAGTATACTATGAGTATATTGTACATTTCTAGCTAATATATTTACATAAGCTGTAAATACAGCATTTGTTAGAGGAAAGAAAGGAATCTGGTAACTGTCAGCTGATAATGGATGGACAGATATTGCAACATGAATTAATCACATTTCAGAAACCAGTAAGAACTGCCTGAAACTACTGTATAAAATAATTTTAGATTAAGATAAGAATATTTGTGTTGATTAGCAGATGATGATACAACTTCATGTGAAAACAGAAAAAGATTCTAAAAGGTATCTCAGAAATATGAAGGTAGTTATATAAATTATGTCATGCCAGAAAAGTGTCAGTGTACTTTTAAAACATAGCAATGTGTTGATTGGCAAGCATTATCCTCTCAATATTATTCTGTGCTGTCACATGAGTTCATTATGGTACTACATATGCCTGACATGCAAAGTCTCACTTGCTTTTGTGAAATTATGTTACAAATTCATTCTATTCAGAAGACTACAGTGTATGAACAGGAACAAAATTTAGGATGTGCCAAATTGATGTAACCAGTAGTACTGGCTGATCAAACACTCTTGGTGTTCAAGAATTATCTGAACTGACCCTAGACATATTTAAAACTTGTGTGGATTTACACAGAGCCAACAACATGACTGAGAGACTTCTTCACATTTCTGACAAAAAAAAAAGAATCCTGCACCATATTTTGAAGAGTCCATCACTGCCACCTAAGGATTTCTTTCCTCAAAAGTGTAGACATGAAGACCTGACTATCTGTCTAAATACATTTTATAAAAACCTTTAGAGGCTGTTTGACAATAATGAAACTGACCTGACAAAATGGGTCCAAATGATAAAGCTGAAGCAGCAACCAGAAGAAATCCAGACATTTAGTATCTAGCCAAGCACAAGATTTTTCCCAAAAGACTAACACAATGAAGTGAAAATAATATGAATATGTCAAGAATATCTGAAGGATAAGAAAACTGAGGGAAATTCTACAGAAATAATAACTTTCTTGAACATCAAAGAGGCTTTTAATGGATAAAGTAGTTTTGACTGCATCAAGCACTACTTTGTTGACCTGTTGCTGGTAGTGATTTTCATAAAAGTCATTGTACCTCCTCTAATTCAGTTCAATCCAATCAAATTCATCTGATCTTGGCAGCTCTGTGAGCATCATGCTGCAATAGACAATAAACTCAAGTGACTGAACCTGCTGAACAAATGACTCACATATTGCAAAGGTGTGTTAGTACCTTGTGATGTTAATATTCTTGTTCGTTTTTCTGTAAAGGATATGTTGACAGTGACTTCAAATTGATATAAATTATACACACAAGGTGTAGCTGTGATGATAGCTGTCACACATCAGATTCAACATCGCTGTTTTTTAGATTTTATCATTTTTTGTCAAAGAATTTAAAGAATCACCACTTTTTATCTGCAGCTAATAATACACATTTTTCTACTAAAGTAGCACCGAAATTTGTAGATTCTGAGTGCTAAAGATGTGAAGGAGCCCATTCAGTAACTTCCATCATATAACCAGAGTATTCACAGAATCTCATAGGCACATTTGGATTAGTAATCGTGTATACTTCTTTCTTTCTTTCCTTGCTCGTTTTTTTTATCCTTTGTTTCGAACTTCCTTTCAGTCCCTCTTCATCTTCTAATCCTGCCTAGGGCCACTATCTAAAATATTGGTTTTCAGGATTTTGTAGTCATTTCAGGAAAATTCAAGGATAGTAAGAGTCCCTCAAATAAGGTCATGGCTATGTCTATTCTTAAAAGCAAGGTTTGGTACGGAGAAAAGTACTGCTAAAAAGTGAAACATTAAAAGTATATAGATATTAATTATATTAATAAAAACTAAACCAAATAGATATCAAGACTTAGCATTCTGATAATCTTAAAAATTATGAAGAAATGCCTTAATAATATAGATAATATGTTATAACAGCCACTAATATGTAGAGACATACAACAAAACCAATAAAATCTAATGTTCATCCTCATGTAAAATTATACATAACATTCTTCTGGAAGGTCAGTTTCATTTGCAGGTGAAATTATTTGTGATCATTACTGTGGACATCAAGCAAGACGGTTCAAGCATAATAATTTAATTGTATTTGGAAGGAGATGAATTAAAATCTCAGCCAGGATTATCTTGGGAAGTGTCATGGTAGTACCTCAAATTGGGCCATGACCACTTCATTCCACGTCCTTTCCAATTCTTCATTCATTATCCTGCCATTTGACATTATATAGTAGGAGCGACTAACAGATACATTAAACAAACCATATATATATTATACAAGTAACATTACTGTGGATTCTGACTGTTAGGAAATGAGGCCATTTACAATATTTTTTGATCATGTCAAAACTCGGATTGTATATTACGGTAAATTTAAATTACAAATTGTTAAAATGAATTTATACAGATGCAGGATTTGTTTAAAAATAATCATTCACAAGAAATCATTACTTTTCTACTTTCATACAACTAAGAAGCTATATGCCATATTGTTATAAGAGTTTATATTCTTCCTTTATCTGTATCCGATACTTGCATTTTGAGCTGTATTGCTAGAATTTCTACTTCTTTGTGCAGCCTTTTTTTTCAAAATATGGAGACATTTTACGGCAAAGGAAATTACAGGATGGGTTCACATTTTAGGAACTGCTCTAATGCTTTCTCTGCCAATTGGACATTTAAATCCTACCTTTGGTTTATGATGCATCAACATATGAACAAATTTTCAATATGTGAAAATGAATTCTACTTGAAACAGTTGACAAAATTAAAGTAATATGGAACACTTTGTTACTTATTATTTTCCAAGTATCTGTAATTAAAATACTGTTCTAGAGTGCCACTAACATTCAGAAAATTACCTTACTTCTTAGTGTGATTTCACACAGAGGCCAGAGGAAAGAAGATTCAAAGGTTTCTTGAAACTCTTCTCTTATGTAAAACAGGTTGGTAGAAGACAACCACGTTTCATTATTTACATAAGATCTCTTAAGCATAATGCATTAAGAATAAGATTTAAACTGTATAACAAACAGTAAGCAAGAAAAGTTTTCAAAGAAGATGTCACATGAGAAGGAAACCAGTTTCCCTTATAGTAAATTATACATTAATTATCTGTGATAAGTGAATGTAAAGCCAGTAGGATGGAGAAACTGACCATATTATGAGTAAAAACACTGAGCCAAGTAGTAATATAATTTTAAAAAAATCACATATTTTAACTACTGGATCTGGAGAGAGAAGATTTTCTTCCATATGCAAAAATCAGTTAAAAACATAGCAGATGTACAAAAAGCTGGCTACAGTCCACACTGACACAAAAATTAGCTGCTATTAACAAATTATCAGCAACTCAAGACAGAGAATTAAGTTTTTAAATTAATTTGAATTATTTTAGTTCTGTCCACCTCATGTACCTTTACATACAAGTACATTACTAACATTTTAACCCTCAAGGATTAAACCTCCCTCCAACGATTCCTTCCTAATCATCTGATACAGTAAACAACTTTCATTAATAGAATGCAGCATACACCTGCTTTAGCTTATATTGACATATCCTATTTTAAGACATGCCAATTGGTCTATGAGCTATTATGATAATGGAAAAATTCATATTTTACCTTCGTATTAAGATGACTATGGTTGTAATGACAGCTGCCAGGAACACGAAGCCACCAAATACTCCNGAAGCAATCTGATTGGTTAGCGCGCGTGATGGTGAAAAGTGATGTGAAGAGCGAGCGTTGCAGAAATGCGTGATAATGTGGGATGTTCCCACAGATTAAATATGTGCATGCATTGGAATGAGAGAAACATGTATAAAATCTCTACATCCCTGGTATGGGAACTGAAAGTTAGCATATTGTCTTTAATAGAATGCTTGTGTGAATTAATAATCCCACAAAACTGACTAATTTAGGTCACATTAATTTTTAAAATTAGTGTGTCATGAGTTACTATGTATATCAGGGGCAGCTTTTACTTTATGGCTAGTTAGTTGTTCTACATTAATAGCAAATTTGCTTATAAAACTATTCTTTACTAATGGTTAACTGTTTTAAAGAGAAATTTGAAGTAACATGTCTTAAGATTTATTCCACTCTTATGCAAAGCAAGGCTGTCTGTTTACCCGGTGGGTATGACTAAGCCTCATCCCCAAAAAGTGTTTTATAATTCACTTTGCACCAGCCTGAGTACAACATGCATTACATAATATATTAATGTACACATGGACAGTATCCCTCAATGGGGATCAGGCTCATATGAAACCTTCTTGAAATTATATACAGAGTGTTTCATGACTTTAGGGCATAAGTGCAGGAGGTTATTTCCTAGGACTTTGTGATCAAAAAAGTTCATATAAACATGTGTCCGATTTTGGACGGTTACGGAGTTATGACCGTTTTTTCATTCCCATACACGCCCTCGTGTGAACCGCGTCTATCATCTGGCGGGTCGCTATTTTTAGCCAGCTACAGACAGAACGTTTTCGTTATCTTGACACTTGAGAGGTACCTAAGGCGTGGTGGGTTGGTATGTTCAGCCACGGCCAGTGTGGTGGCTACTGATGTTCAGAACAGTTCTCATCTTGGTGCGTCTGTAATGTTCACAATGCCATTTACATTTTCATTTGAGGAGTATGCAGATATGATTTATGTGTATGGGTTTTGTGACGGTAACTCAGTTCTTGGTGTAGCTGAATATCAGCAACAGTTTCCGAATCGTAGAATACCGAACCGGAGAGTGTTTACTGGAGTTTACCAGGCATTGCGAGATACCGGTAGACTTTCCGGTGTTCGTATTGCAGCCGAGCGTGGTGTTAATGAAGGCGTCAATGAAGAAGGCATTGTTTGTATGGCACACCACAGTCCACATACGAGTATGCAAAGAATTGCCAGCCAGGTCTACAGACTTAAGCCCACTGGATTATTGTGTGTGGGGATGGATGAAAGAACTGGTTTACAATGTGAAGTTGGCAACGTGAGATGCTTTGCTCCGTCGCATTCTGGACGATGCTGACCACATAAGAAAGAGCCAGCTGAAGCTGCTACGTGCTACCCGCGCGGTTCACAACTGAGCGGCAGCCTGTGCTGCGGCCGGCAGTGGCATTTTCGAAAATCAGCTTTAAGCACCAATAAATTCAAATTAAAGGTAATTTCACGAAGTTAACTTTACATTCATACTTTAAATGAATCATGTATTATGCTGGTTTATTATTTTGTTCCATTTATTGTCAGTAATCATTACCTTCTATTCTGAGTTTAAAACAGTCATACCGTAACCGTCCAAAATCGGACACATGTTTATATGAACTTTTTTCATCACAAAGGCTAGGAAATCACCTCCTGCAGTTATGCCCTAAAGTCATGAAACACCTTGTATAAGAACTACCAAAATTTAAATGTCCTGTTACCTAAAGTTAAATAGCCATTTATGCAAGTAATTTAATAAGAGAACTCAAACAGTAGTTTGTACAGAAGGGAGAAGGTTCTATGTGAATTGGTTCACCAACCTAAGTTGAGTCTGGCCCCTGCTTCACGTCGCTCCTCATCCACTGAATGTGCCACATTTACGTTTGGTGGGAGACCGCTCCTTACATTGACACTATCAGGAATCTCATTGTTTTGTGGATGTGAGGCTACCACAACATGAGGTACATGGGCTGATTCAGCTGGACTGCTGTCTGCTGATGGTGCTGGTCTCTTAGAAGGTTTCACCCTGACAGGACGCTCCTGATGAGGGCTCTGTGGACCTGGCCTAGCAGGTGGTAGGCTGGGTCTAGTAGGTGCAGCTGGTGGATCACGAGGCTTGGTGGATGGTGTTTGGGGTTGAGTGGGCTTGCTAGGAGAGACTGGCACTGCAGCCACTGTCTGTGTGTCTTCTGTAAGAATACAAACCAAAACAATGAAAGTAATCTGAACAATGTAGGAATAAGTAAACAACAATTCAAACTTATCTTCAATGTTTAACAATTTCGTAACAAGGCCTCGTTCTGACTAGTGCTATGTTGTTTTAGGAAGAAGTCTTCATAGTGTTGTAAAGTACTAGATGACTATTTCTTGATTAATTGTGACTCAAATGCGTAGTAAATCATAACTACTGATTATCATTTATTAACACTGTAAATAAAGGATTAAGTTTAAAGCTTTTTATATAATGTAACACATTGTTTAAAATTATTATTTTGAACTTTGTCCATTGTCTAAGTATATTAAAACCACTGCATGTCAGAAGTTGGTTAGATTTCTGTCTACAGATGAAGAGACTGAAAGAAAACCTGCTCTGTTCGAATCTACATTTGAGTTTCTCTGGTTTGGTAGCAGCTCTACTGTAGGATCCTACAGAATAGGTTTTCTTTCACATTGTGTTCACTAGAAATGGTAATAAAACCAGTTTCTGAAATGTGATTTAAAAAAAAAAATTGACAACGAACAAGTTCAAAATAGTAAATTTAATCAAATAAATGATGTTTCAAATAAGGAAATAATATAAAAAAGGGACCTAAACCGCCTAGGGATAACTGCACACCTGACACCACCATTATGACATGGCTGCTTTATTCAGTTGTGAGCTTATTCAATCTGTCTTATTCATCCCACTTATGCAGGCGGGGCATAAAACTGACCACTCACCTCCAACTAGTGCTGAGATCAAGAAAACGTGGATCTATACATCCACTCCCCCATACATCTTCGTGGTGTAGTTCTTAAGCACAGGGACGACTTTACCTTTTTACTCCTAGTAAGTACTAGGAATCTTAAAATCAACATTACTGCTGCCTCCTTATACATAACAAATTTATTTCTAGGTTTGTGATCATCACATTCTAACTGTCATACTTGCTATAACTCCTTCAAAAGACTGTTTATCCAGGAGAAGAAAAACTTAATTTACAATGCATGAAACACTTCAGATTTTATAACCTGCTGATTATATACTGTAGAAGAGAAAAAGTGTGCTTGGCATGCATGCAACCAAATCTTGTGGCGTCTTCTGTGAAGAAGGCATTTGTTAAAGTGCCATACAGAAAAGAAGCCTTTAAAGCAGTAGCACCGAGCGTTCCACTTCTGACAGAACCAATTGTAATGCGCTGGGACACATGGCTTTGTGCAGCGACTTGGTATACCGAACATTTAGAAACAGTTAGGAATGTCGTGAATACATTTGATCCCAAAAGTGCAGCATCAATTCAAATTACCCAAGATGTACTAAAAAACGCAGAACTAGAAACTAATCTTTCCTATATATCTGCTCACTTCTCTCATCTTCCATCTGCCGTTTCCTCACTGGAGGCAAGCAATAGCAATACTACTTTGTATCAGTCGTTAAACATGTTCAAAACCACTGTTTCCAAATTGAATTTGGTTCCTGGAAGAGTTGGTGAAGTAGTAAAGAAAAAAGTACACAACATTCTTTCAAAAAATCCAGGATATGAAAAAATCTGTGAAATTGAAGAAATTTTAGCCGGTAAACATACTGAACTGCCAAGTAAAAAATCACTAACAGTGAAGCAAGNTCAAATTACCCAAGATGTACTAAAAAACGCAGAACTAGAAACTAATCTTTCCTATATATCTGCTCACTTCTCTCATCTTCCATCTGCCGTTTCCTCACTGGAGGCAAGCAATAGCAATACTACTTTGTATCAGTCGTTAAACATGTTCAAAACCACTGTTTCCAAATTGAATTTGGTTCCTGGAAGAGTTGGTGAAGTAGTAAAGAAAAAAGTACACAACATTCTTTCAAAAAATCCAGGATATGAACAAATCTGTGAAATTGAAGAAATTTTAGCCGGTAAACATACTGAACTGCCAAGTAAAAAATCACTAACAGTGAAGCAAGTAGCGGCTTTTATACATGCGCCCCTAAGTTCCTGTGAGGTGGAAAAAAATTTTTCCCGCTATAAGGACAACTTACAAGACAATAGGAGGCGACTAACTATGGAAAACCTAAAACATTTAGTAACTGTGAACTGCAACAGAAGAGAAGTTGAAAGTTCAGAGAGCTAGAAGTGAGTACCATTGCTTTTTTAAATTTGCAATGAAATATGTTGGCTTTGTTCCATGATTTGTATTTAAGTATAGCTTTTTATTGCAAGTGAATCATTCAGTGATTACATAAAATGAACTTAAATATTGATTTGTTGGTCTTAAAATAATGTAAAATGAATTTTAATATTTGGCATAAATTTTTATGTGCATATTTCGGAAGTTTTTCGTGCATAAATGCATACATATTTAAGGGATTATTAAGGCATAAAAATCCGGTCCCTACTTATGACACTACTACAGAGAGTCATTAATTTTATAGTCACTACAACACATGAATATATTTTTGTTTACTTATTTATTTTGACAGTATCACTGATGTTCAGGCTGTTCATTTAATATATGATCTTAGGCAAGTTAATATGTCTTCAAAGCATTAAATGACAAGCAAAGAACAAATGCTAGTCAAGGATAATGTGATTGGTTAGTGGAGAGAAATAAAAGAAGAAGAAATATCTACCAGTACATTTTCTTATTATGAAGACTTCCATGAGTATGCGAGTTCTAATTTGAGTGAGAGTAGAGATTTCATACCTTTACATACAGGTGGATTATCATCATATTCTCCATTGGGAAGGCATTTAATCTTGTTGGGACCAATAAGTTTGTACTTCCGAGAGTTGCATGAATATTCAACCATGGTTCCCACTACTGTCAAATTGTTGCTAACAACGAATTTTCCATTTTGTATAGTAGGAGGGTCATCACATTCAATAGCTGTGTAGAATAGAAATGTTGATTAGCTTTTCCCAGATCTTAATTTCTGTTTTACTGATTTTTTCTGTGAGTCAGTTTGATGTATATGCACTGGTAAAGACCAGCAGCATATACAAAAGACAGACCCATCCTCTCATCAGGGAGGGCACCCCACAAAGATAAGACCTTAACTCTCAAACAGTAATAATTTGACTTTGACTTTGACTTGACAAGTGAAACCCCAGCATGCCTTATAATCTTGAAAACCAGCACAATACAGGATGCTGCTAACAATTTGAGGCCTGAATATGTAAAGATTTCAACAGAGACTAAACACCATAATATCAAAGATTGTGATCTGCAAAAGTCACCAATATGATAACATTTCTTTCAAATCCAACAAATTTAAGTAACATAATTTAATTAATACCATCTTCATCAAGGGAAATAAAATATGTGTTCTCAGATAAAACTTGATGCTTATTAGGTATTAACAAACTGGCACACTATTTGAATTGATCTTTTTAAAGTACTTAGACAAATTTAGTTCTGAGCATACAAGATAAATGCCTCAAAAATTATGGCAAAATCTCCATAAACTACTTTCACCATTCTATAGTTAACTATTTTTACTTTCATCTGGTCATATTTCATAGCTGTCATAATAGCTGAAGTCATCCAGTGGACAGACACCTCAACCATTAGAGCATGCCAATAGGAAAATAATATTTTTAAATGTTTTTCACCTTCTCTGCCATCTGCATATTTCTGTGTAGCACCCATAAACTACACTCTGTCTAATATATGGAATTCTTTGTGGATGAAATTATGTTAAGTAAAAGAGGTTAAAAATAGAAGAATTGGTTAATTTGACTTTTAACCTATATAACAAATAACAGGACGTTCTGGTTTATTATATAATTTTTTGGATAAATAAATAACTCAAGTTTTCATTCTACAAGAACATTAAAATTAGAAGAGTTCATTTATTTCCATAAACATATGCTTTAGTAATGTAACAGTAGCTGTAGTCTGTAACCATCTACTGGAGTTATTAACATAATAAACCAGAATATTGAAGTCTTATCATCCACCACCCTGAGAACTACAAATGTCATGGAGTAATAATATTTTCTAGTTTAGAGAGAAAAACTGAGAAATGATGCAAATAAATAAAAATAGACAACATATAACCTGGAATGTTTCATACATATTTTTAGTTACTCTTTTAACAAATTATTTCAAACGTCCATTGGAGTGCACTACAATGACCTTTCATGGAATTACTGCAGAAATTCTCAAGAGTTCAATGTACAATATGCAAAATAAACAGAAAGATAAATTGTTTAAATATTTCGGTCACTCATTTTACATACGTGCGTAATAGAACAGATACTTATCATACTTATTTGTAACATGAGGTCCCCCCCGTACCTTTCACGAGAGTCATGGATAACTGTGGAGAAAGACGCACAGCTCCTGGTATACACTCATCAGTCTGCCAATATCACACAACTTAATATAAGAATCAAATGTTACTATAATTATTTTTGAATCACACTATATTACAAATGGGTCATGTTGTAGCATAGTTGGTTGAGGCATTATACTACAAGCCGGAAGGTCACGGGTTCAGTTGCCAATGAGGTCACTGGATTTTTCAATTGACCTCATCCTTCCAGCCATACTATGATCCTTGGGTTGACCCAGGCTCCAAGAGAAATGAGTACAGGAATCTTCCTGGGGGTAAAGGGCGGCCAGCACATAAAGCTGCCAGCCTCACTGCCATCTGTGAGACGAGTGTCTAGAAAATGTGGGAGCCTCAACATCACTCAATCCTAAGGACTTCCACGACCTGTTACAATTCTTAAAGTTTTAATGAGATCCCTTTTTACATGTAAGAAAGTAATAACACTTTACAAGCAAACCAAATACGATTTCAGAAGACCTTTTACTACTTTTTGTCACTGCTACAGCTTTTAACACTTTTATTTCTTTTATTACAGGGTAAATTAGCATTTTACTGTAATTGATTATGATTATGAAGCTGGACAAGGTGGTGGTGATACCTTCACATCGAGGGGGCGGTCCGTTCCATCTCTCGTCAATGTCACACATGAGTTGTGCTCTGCCAACTAGTTCATACCCTTCGTCACATGAGTAAATGACTCGACTCAAGTAGCCAACAGTACCATTCAGCAGCTGATAGTGTCCGTTTGGTATCTCAGCAGGGAAACCACACTGGATACCTGCAATTTAAATTGCTTAAACTGAAAACATGAACAGCAATAATAACAAATAAAAGTTGTATGTGTCTAAACACTGATGCAGTGAATAAGCCAATGCCATAAGACATTAAGAAATCATGACTGGAACACACAGATAGATGCAAATCATTATGTGAGAGAAACAATACCATCTATTATCCTTTGAAAGCCACAATGCATGGCCTCATAACAATATTTAAAGTACCACAGGGGCAAGACTGCCTGAGAAGACAAAGAATAGAGTTTCCATATATTCTTTTCCATCTTCCATGCAAATTATACTAGAAGTTTTAAATTCAAAATGTTATTTTTAATTTACCCTAAATTTTTAAAAATTGAAAATTAAGTTTTGAATTTAAAACTTCTAGTATGAGTTGAATGGGAAATGGAACTGAATGCATGGATAGAATACAGTGCAACAGAGTGCTGAAATACAACATTAAATCACCAAGCAGCTGTTTGGTCTTCCATGAGTCCATGAGTCGGGCTTCTTATTACAAACACTACATGCATGAAAATATTTTGTAATTGGAGACACTTCACTGTAAAGCAACATAACTGACTTACGTTTGCAGACAGGTGGAAATTCATTATAGAAGCCAGTTGGCAAGCATGTGCGTGATGCGGGTCCCACAAGAAGGTGGCCTTCATCACATGTATAATCAATCACTGCACCAACGTTAAAATTCTTGGCCACCATTGTTGAATTTGGTGGCTGTTCAGGTTTTCCACATGCCTTTGGTTCTGAAATTAAATATAGTAACTATGATATTCAAGCAGCATTACCAGTTTTTCACCTGCCACAAATGTTTGGGTATGGGTGAGTAAAACACAAAGAAAATCAGGAAATAGCAGGCTCCTACTGCATTGTCTAAACAGAAATGCAAGGAAGGCACAAGAAAGAGAGATACAGTATCAAGCATTAGAAATGCCTAATAATATAAACGTATTTTCCCTATTAACGGCAAAAACTATGTTATAAAAATCCGACTCTCCCTATATTTCAGTCGTGCTTTCCAAAACCAATGTAAGAAACAGCTCAAATATAAAATTTTGGGATATGAGGTTCTCACAGTGGTGGTTATGAAGAGTTGCTACCTTTTGGAATATAGCACTGTGTAGTCTGCTGAAAATCAATTGATGTTTTGGGGAAAGGTGTGGTCTCTAACTTCAAGGTCGAAGAAACCACCATGAAGGCAGGTGGCAAGCAGAACCAAAGCTCTGCTTGCCACCTCCTTTAATGCTGGTTTCTTACTTGCCTTATTCGTTGACCCTGAAAATGGAGGTGACATGTTCCTCAGAAATGTCAGCTGACTTTCAGCAGACTACACAGCATTATATTCCAGAAAAAAGAACATGCAAAATTCCCTGTTCTTTTACCTTAATTGGATATGCGTAATATATCTGAGAGCTTTATCATGAGATATCACAGATGGACTGTGTTTTACTGGTGTTCCTGTGAAATATTTTTCCAGTCATACAATAACAGAAACATCAAACAAGCTGGTGTAGCAATAATGACCTAGAATTTATTTCAGAGGTGCTGATTTCAAATCTCGGCTGTCCTGACTCAGAATTTTCACGGTACTCTCAGTCTCTCCAGGAAAATCCTTTTCAATTTATTATTTACTGAACATTCTACCATTCGACACTATATAGTTTGAGATATTGATGGTGTTGTAAAATGAACACAGAAAAGGCGAGCAATGTGTGAGGTACCTTGAGAGATGCATTAACCCAATATAAGTCAGTCCAGCAAATATTCTGAGGACTCATGCAAACATATTAGTGACCCATTGAATTCTATAAAAGGCATGGAATTTCTTGAATAGCTGAGTGACTATCAGGATTCTTGTCCATGGAATTAGTGTGTTAGTAGAGCAATATATCCTTAAACTCCATAAGTTACTTATAGCAAATTATTTTAACACTGGTATCCATTGTCATTGTGTTATACTAAGTATGTACACCAACTCTAGTAGAAAGATGATCCTTCTCGCGCCTCTCCAAAATAAAATCATGGATCACGAATCTGGTACTGGGTACTGAACTCATAGTTATATTTCTGCTTCTGAGTTCATTTAGATTCATCCCTAACCTATCATAAATTTTGTGAATCTTCCCTAGCCTAACCTTTTATGAATGCATGATATGTCTTACACACATGGACATAAATGTCTTATATATGCATATATACATGTACTTATAAATACTGTCACAGCTATTATAAATACAAGTTACTTTCTTTGACACAGGAAAATTACTGCCTTCTGTGATACCAATGTTTTGGAGGAACCTACAGCCTACATCTTATGAGTATTTACATATGCAGAAACATGAATATAGAGCAGGTACACAAAATCTGATCATGCAAAGTATGTCATCCTCCATCTTCAGGGAAGAAAACTTTCCTAGACCTTTATTCAGTATCTGCACAAACATACAAACTGAATGTATGGAAGGTGATGTCTGAATGTCTGTCTACATGTTTCATTTTCAAATTGCATGACAAATTTAAAGGAAGTCTGGCAGTGGGGATACAACTGTGTAACTTGTACTGCCATTAAAAAAAATACACAATTTCAGCTACATATATCAGTAAATGAGAAAGTCTAAGGGACTGCCTACTATCTTGAAATATACTAATACCGTATTTACGCATGTATAGGCCACGTGCGTGTATAGGCCGCAGCACAATTTTCAGACAGAAATTATAGAAAAAATAATTTTCTTGGAATATTATTTCAGGAGTAGAACACCCTGTACTACTAATTATGAATATATATATTTTTTAAATGAAGTGTGATTTCGAATATTTCGAATATAAGCCGCACCCCAGTTTTCCTCTTGAATTTTTGGCAAAAAATGTGCGGCCTATACATGTGTAAATACGGTAATCTCAATGTCGTAAATTCAACCCAAAAGAGATCCTCTAAGTATAATTATTAGTAAGCATATGAGCACTGCAGTATTTACAGACTTCACTTACACCAAAAGATTTATTTTATTTGGTATGTAATTTCATACAAACCAAACTGATAGCTTACAAATACCGAAAAATGAAACCTGAATTTTTAACAAAGCCAAAGACAGAATTAACACCATCTAATGTGACTATTTAAGTTTTATGATTTGAAGACTCATCACCCTTACATGTTTCGATCCCTATGGATCATCCTCAGAGGGCATCAATACTTTTTCAGAAACTACTATTACAATAGATGTTAATTATATACACATATAATGTCTGAAATGCAAAATGTAGACAGTGTTCAACCTTTCACATTCACAGCAGCCTTCCTGGTGTTAAAACTTTTTTAAAAACTTTCTAGTTCAAGCTTAAAATTTTTTATAAACCATACAGGTTCTTGTCAATTCTCCTATCGTTATCCTTTCGCAAGACAGACAGGCAGCACAGGATCAGCCACCTCCAAGAATAACAATAGGAGAATTGACACAATCCTGTATGGTTTATAAAAAAATTTTAAGCTTGAACTAGAAAGTTTTTAAAAAAGTTTTAACACCAGGAAGGCTGCTGTGAATGTGAAAGGTTGAACACTGTCTACATTTTGCATTTCAGACATTATATGTGTATATAATTAACATCTATTGTAATAGTAGTTTCCGAAAAAGTATTGATGCCCTCTGAGGATGATCTGTAGGGATCAAAACATGTAAGGGTGGTGAGTCTTCCAATCATAAAACTTAAATAGTCACATTAGATGGTGTTATTTTTGTCTTTGTAATTGTTAATGTGACGCACCAGAATGAAACAGATAAAAAAAATGAATTTTTAACGTGATATAATGATTTATATACGCACGGTGCTGGCAAATGAAGTTGAGCTTCGCATTGCAGTTGGTATCTGACCAAAGCCAGCCTTTAGAGCCATCATAGCGGGCACAGTTCTCATTTCCACCAGGTAAGTTCCAGAAAGAAACTGTCACATCTTCCCCTCCCAACCACTTCCAGTTGTTACGGTCCTGTGGATCCCGCACAGCTCCCATCCAGTATTGGCTGTTTGAGTCACTCCTACAACATAAAGCAAACGTAATTTTGACACTCTTCTAAATTCTTGAAATTCTGTTTGGTTTAGCCATTTTGGAACTATACAATAATCACACTGAAATAGCATTCCATATGTAAATTCTCAAAGCTAAGTTGGTGATATTTTGCAGTTAATTTACATATTCTGCCAAGCAGATGTGCTATGCATTACATGGTTTGAAGCTAAAGGAATAATAAAATTGGTAACCTCATACACTGAAACACATTTGCCCATTTTTCTGCACTTCTACATCACCATTCAAAATTATGTGCTGCAGCACCTCTCATGCATGTCTACAAATTTTAGTTAACTGAAAAAATTACTGTTTTATAACTTGGTGAGTTCTTTTCTCTTTCAATGACTAAATAGATTGTGATAACATTACCACATTTCTTGCACTCAGTACCGCCAAGTTAGTTAATTACAATTGCTTTTTCTTCCTGTCATACATTCAAAGGAAAATTCTGACAATTTAAGCAGTTTGATGTGAGCTTGTGCAGAATTATTTCTTGAGATGTTAAATGTAAGTATTTATGACACCTCTAAGAATGTTATACAACACAGAGCATTAATGTTTACTTAAATACTTGATAGTAATAAATACTTTGGTGCAGAATTATTTTGCTTGTACAATGTGAGAGAGAAGGGAAATGTAATATTGTTGGTTTTATTTGTCTGTGAACCAAAAAGATTTTGTCCAAATTAAATGTGAGGAGGTAGGGGGGGAGCAAACTACCTGGAATTATGCTGGGTGTTCAAGCCCAAGTTCTCTTTGTTAAAGGTTTCTCACATCTCATTGCATCCATTATGTTGCCTGACCACAAACTTTTCTGTTTACCAGCTCCTTGTTTTGACACAATTTGAACAGTAATGGGTACAAAAATTCCTGAACTGTTATAACTAATTTTCCCAATATTGTTTTTTATTTAGTGTTTTCTCTACATTAAAGATAACCGAAACAGCAGAAATTCTAGGTCCTTCTTACATTTTTTTCTGTTCTTTCTAACAATTCTAACTTCAGTAAAAGAGATGGAAAATATTAGATAAATGCATAGTCACTNAGTGTTGAAAGCACTACTGCTGTGACTGAATATGGCTGCGGTTCAAACACAGATACTAGCACAAACAAATGCTGTGAAGGTATAAATTATGAAAGTCATGAGGAAAGCTCAGACAGACAGCAAACATATACCACCAATAGCTGATTTTCCACAAACAATTATTTCAGATGGGATAAAAGTACATCTATGATAAATATCTGAATAAGATGTGGAACATAATCAAGGGGAAAAGTTCTAGGATCATGCCAGCCAGCTAAAGCCTTCAGCAAGATTACAAATGAAAACAGTTGGTTGGGATTGGTTCATATTTGAGGAAATGACTGTACCCACATTATATGAGCTTAGTAAATGAAAGATTTATTAAAATAAAAGAATAAATACATACAGTAAGGAAACAGGTCAAATCATGAACTAAGTTACCAGAAACTGACTGTTCTTGTTGTTATCATCATCATCACTATCATTAATATTCCTGCCACTGGTTCTCTTTAATTAAGGGAGTCCATTGACTTGGTACTTCACTTATGTGATATGAGGGTTGGAACTTTAATAGTGGCAACCATTTATTTACAACTGATACAAAATAGATGCATGTTTCGAAGTTTTATTGTCCTTCAATGTAGTCACCAGCATTGTGTATAACCTGTTGTGTTGCTAGTTCGAATGGAGCGGTCTACTGCCTGAAAAATATCTGGAACAGTTCTGAAATGAATGCCATGAAGTGGTTCTTTCATCTTAGGAATCAAGGCAAAGTCACAAGGGCTTAAGTCCGGGGAGTATGGTGGATGGTACAGCACTTCCCAGCCCCATCGATCGAACAAATCAGCCACAGCTTGCCATTTCTGCATTTCCGTCAAATTGTGCGGAACCCATTGTGATGCAATTTTTCTCATGCCCAGGCGTTCCTTCAGAATGTGAACCACAGTCGTATGCGCTAATCCTGTCTCTCGGGCCAACTCACAAATCATCAAATCATATGGCATCAATCACTCTCCAGTAACGCGGAAAGAGCATACACTTCTTCTTCACTGACACTAGGACGACCTGACCGACACATGTCTGCCACATTTTGGTGTCCCTCGTTGAAGGCCTTTACACACCTTGCCACTGTTCTGTAAGGCAATGCAGATTCCCCGCAAGCCTCTTGAAGACCTTGATGACACTATCATGCTGTACGGCCTCTGGCACATTCAATCTTTATCCAACTCCGTTTTTCCTGTTTCGAGAACACCGTGACAACACTACATTAGACCGCCAGCTAACATGAGGCTCTGTTCTTCTCGTCACTGCACATGGGCATGATGTGGGAAGGGAGAGTCCATTTGCCCTGAGGTAAGGTAGGTATGTAACTAACGTGTGGTATGTTCCGTTGCATGGCATCTCCACAACAGTGTTGCCACTATTAAATTTCCAACCCTCGTATTTTAACATCATCTGATACATGTTATGTATTTAGCAGTTGTAAGTCACTCTACAATCATACCATTTTAAAGAACAGCTGTACAACAGCGTTTTCATTCAGATGCATGTGAATAATGTGCAGTCTAAAGACTCCAAGCTATCATCATTTTGTTGGCTAAAATTTATGTTGTGGTACAAACAAAACAATTGACTAGAGATGAATACATGTGGAACATTAATATTCAGATATTTAATGCTTTTTGTGCATCTCATTTTAACATATTTGCTACAGGGGACACAAATATCTGCAGACTCCACACGTGAGCACTAACCTGTGTCTGCGCCACAGTTCCCAACTGATGAAGCCTTGCAGTGCAGGATTGCTCTCGTCCACTAAAGTGCCGCCACGACTCCGACAAAAGGCAAGAGAATCTTTAAAACTGAGTGGTTGTCGGTTGTAGAAAATGTAGCATTTACCATTGTATGTTGCTGTACTGCCTGGTGGCTGATCCCGAAACTGAGGGCAGCGTTCAATTGGCAATGCCTGCAATGTTAGTCATTGATAGCAGTTATGAATGTAGCCTCTTTGAACATTAATACAGCATATCTGTAGCACATAACCTACAAGTCATCAATAAATAGCTACTTATGATAAAAATTAATCATATCATCACATGTGATACAGGCTACTGTCTTCAGTTTACACTTTTGCCATGAATGTCTCTGTGTCATACCAACATTTGATGACTGCTTATGTTTACCAATGTTGTGATGGAGCCTTATTTGGGACAGTTTAGTTCAGGGATGATGTGTCATTGTTTCAGAATATTTTCAGGTAGCAACTCTTGGAGTAATGACTGTCAGTGAGTGGATGGTAAGCATGTAACTAAAGTTTTCAGATGGTTATACACTTTAAGTTGCATACAGTTAAAAATAACTACATAATTCCATCCACATATAATGTCTTCGTTAGATAAACGGCAAATGGACACTTGATGCCAGGACCCTATTTATCTTCCTATGAATGAACAAATGTCTTGAGACATGAAACCACACAATATTGACAAGGATCTGAGATTTTCACAATGATAAAAATTCACATTGTTGTCTTCTGGATTGTAAAGAAATATATGTAGTATTGTAGGTGGTTACCAGTGTTCTCAGCAACTTGCTGTCTGATCTTCAGAACAGAGCAAGTCATGGTCTTTCATCTTTCTTGACATATTTCATATTTATACTATATTATTCAAGATCTGTGAGATAGTTTCATTACTTTTCATTAAAACGAAATTTCATTCTAAGAAGAAAATGTTGAAACCCACTGGAGTTTACTGTAAAAATTTAACTCTGTGTGTGTATGTGTGTGTGCGTGCGTTGTGGCACGTACACCCATTGCTAGTTGACACCATGAAACAAGCACCTATACAACAGCCATGGCTAGGTAGCAGCTTGGCCAACAGACAAAAACGCAGCAATTCCATGGCAACAAGAGTTTACAAGAATAATAGGAAGAGGTGTTTTCTACATGGTCTGTGTTGAGATGTTATAAGCAGGACAAGTTAGGAACACAAATATAAAACTAGAGCCCTCAATAATTTATATTTACCTGCAGTTAACCTAACAAAATACAGTAAAGGTGCGTATATATCAGGTATTAAAGTTTTTAATCATTTTCCTCAAACAATAAAAATGTTGGCTGCTGATGAGAGAAGTTTTAAAACTGCACTGAAGAAGTTTTTGTATTATCGTTCTTTTTAGTCCATGAATGAATATTATCAACATAATTGGTCATAAGTGTGTAAATTTGTAATGTATTTAATTCAGTTAATAAGGTAATTTAAATAAAATTGTATTAATTCAAGTTCTATAGTAATTTGTTTGTAAATTATGTTTATTGATTAAAATGTTATTAAATTTTTAACTTTATATTATTATTTATGTTAATCAATTAATGTAAGTGATTTTGATTATGTGACTTGTGTAATTTTTATATGTATCTTGATATATCTATTTTGAAAGGGGCCATTTCCACATCCTAGGTTCATTACCTGTATGGATATATGGAAAATTAAGGAAATGAATGAATGAATGAATGAAACTAGGGACAGAGTCAGTCAATGGAGTAACTGAGTCAGTCAGAGGACTGCTGCAGTCCAGTTGTTGTGAGCTGTTGTTGCGAGAAGCTGGTAGCAGAGGGCAGGGATAATTCTGAAACCCAGACAAAGGGGAATATCCGCCATTGAAACTGCTACCAAGCAACGACTAGTGAAGAGTGTAACAGACTGAGAACACTAGTTTGTGTGTGACAGTGATTTTTAAAGTGTAGTCACTAGCTGCATCAAAGATTCTAATACATCCGATCATAAGAAGAAGGCTTAAGAGGCAGTGGCTGTCCGACCTACCACAACCCACAGATGATTAAGATTAAAACCATCACAATTCCTCTACAGGGCCTGCCAGAGTATAATCGGTGGATGACTTCTCTAATCAAGACACCTACTTAGAACAAATTTACTTATTACTCCATATTATCGACAGTAGTTTGTAATGTAATGTGGAGACAGAACAAATGATGAAACGCCGACTGGCTGAAACAAGAATCAACCATGAAGAAGAGAAAACTAACCTTGAGTAAATGCTTGTCAAGACGGAAACTAACCAAGAAAGGATGGAAGTCAGGCAGATGTCAATCTAGGAGAAACACAGGATGAGCGGCCTTGAAGAGGGAGAAGCAGGAGCAGTTGGAGAGTAATCACCTAGAGGACCGAGCCATGGAGAAGGAAGGCGAGACCGATCACAGGCGTCACAAGCAGAGCCCTTGGAAAATAAGAAATGAGTGTATGCCAATAGGCTATACAGAACAAATAGCCTTAAGGAGGGAGAAATGTGGCATGTAGACCCGTTGCTAGGCAACAACTGCGAAATATGCTACTATACAACAACTGCTGCTATGTAATAGATCTGCAAACAATGACCGTTTCTAGGCAACGGCTGGGTAGAGATCACATGGGCACCACACCAGACACGAAAGCAACAACCGCACAGCAACAGAGGAACGGTGTTTTCTGAGCAGTCCTTGCCGAGATGTTATAAGTCCCAGATGGGGCTCGACACCAAGACTTACTGAGTGACTGACCGTCAGTCGCACTGCGACTTTGACTTTGAGAGGATTTAGTTAGTTAGTTAGTTAGCTGGAGGGCTGCTGCTGTACAGTAGTTGTGAGCTGTTGCTGTTAGAAACCGGGGGACAGTTCGAGAACCCAGAAAAAGTGGAATGTCCGCCATTGGAAGCCATTGCCAGAAGACTGGTGAAGACACAGCAGGCTGAGAAGACTTAACTGTGTGTTCTAGTGAAGTGTAAAGTGTGTGAATTAGTGAAACGGCTGTAATTACTTGTAGTCATATAACTGTAAGAGTTCAATAAATAAAATTACCAATCCAAACNGTCATCAAGGCAACTACGAGGGTTGGAACTTTAATACTGGCAACACTGCTGTAGAGACGCCATGCAACGGTACCACATAATGTCGCTTATACCACACGTTAGTTACATACCTACCTTACCTCAGGGCAAATGGACTCTCCCTTCCCACATCACGCGCATGCGCGGTGACGAGAAGAACAGAGCCTCATGTTAGCTGGCGGTCTAATGTAGTGTTGTCACGGTGTTTTCGAAACAGGAACAACGGAGTTTGATAAAGACTGAATGTGCCAGAGGCCGTACAGCACGACAGTGTCATCTGGGTCTTCAAAAGGCTTGCGGGGAATCTGCATTGCCTTACAGAACAGTGGCAAGGTGGCTAAAAGCCTTCAACGAAGGACGCCAAAATGCGGCAGACACTCGTCGGCCACGTTGCCCTAGTGTCAGTGAAGAAGTGTATGCTCTTTCCGCGTTACTGGAGAGTGATTGACGCCATACGATTCGTGAGCTGGCCCGAGAGACAGGATTAGCGCATATGACTGTGCTTCACATTCTGAAGGAACGCTTGGGCATGAGAGAAATTGCATCACGATGGGTTCCGCATGATTTGACGGAAATGCAGAAATGGCAAACTGTGGCTCATTTGTTCGAGCGATGGGGCTGGGAAGTGCTGTACCATCCACCATACTCCCCGGACTTAAGCCCTTGTGACTTTGACTTGACTCCTAAGATGAAAGAACCACTTCATGGCATTCGTTTCAGAACTGTTCCAGATATTTTTCAGGCAGTAGACCGCTCCATTCGAACTATCAAGACAACAGCCGCTGCTAAAGGTATCCTACGACTTCCACATCGCTGGCAACAGGTTGCACACAATGCTGGTGACTACATTGAAGGACAATAAAACTTCGAAACATGCATCTATTTTGTATCAGTTGTAAATAAATAGTTGCCACTATTAAAGTTCCAAGTTGTATATACACACTTAGTGCTCAGCTTAGCAGTACTGAAAACACTGCACTGAAATCTTGAAGAATTTCACCTTCACATTTTAATACCTGGTCAGTATATACGAAAGCTTCACAGATGGAGAGTTGACTGAGGTTGGCTCCCTCCAAATGAACGCTGACGAAGGCTCCTGGCATTGGTGGATTGCAGGGCAAGAACAGAGGTTTCCCTTCTTCCAGCTGACCAGTGAAACGATTACAGATGGGGTTGGTGCCCAGGTCAGGTCGATTATTGCCTACTCGCACCATTACTGTTGCTGGAATATTCCTCCCTGTGAAGCATTCCATATCATTGTTCTTATGGTGTAATCTACATCTATATCTAGGCAAAAATAATTGAAATATATCAAGATGTCTGTCTGAAACATATACATTTTGACTTCATCCAGCAATGTTTTACAGCTATCACAACAGTTAACGTGAACGGAAAGGGCAGATATCCTACAGCCACCAAACTGTGCCAATGGGTTTTATGCGTTTCCCTCCAGGGTGCCTTAAAAGTCCTGCGAGTTGAACAGGAAGAATTTTTGCATCTGTCATGGATATAATAATTTGTTCCGCTCAACTAGCATGAATTTAAAGTTACGTGAAAAGGAATGGCCAAAAGGGAATAAACATATACGAAAGCACACTTTGTCTTCTCTAAGCGCTTACGTCAGTTCCAACTGTATCTGGCAGGCGCATGCGCGGAAACGAATTATTCAGTTACCAAACTAACGAATTCAAGGGAGCAGAGTCTTTCTGCAGAAGCTCAAATATTTCAGACACTCTGCATATTTTATGGAACCCAAACAGCTGTTACCGTGATCACAACAGCCCGCCACTGATACCTATCCTGAACCCGATGAACTCAGTCCACACCGTCACACACTATTTCAAGATCCATCTTAATATTATCTTCTCATCTACGTTTATGCCTTCCAAGGGGTCTCCACCATTCAGGCATTCAAAACAAAATTCTGTACGCATTTCCCATTTCTCCTATGCATTTTACATGCCAAGCACTGAAATGTCTTGTTTAGGAATGTGGCAGAGTTGCCAAAAGTGTTGTTTTCTCTGCCAGCCATATCGCTACCAGTCTCTCCTTCAAGTGCTGCCAAGGGTGCCATGCGGTGAAATGTTGCGGTCAGCACAGACCAGCCGC